GCCAAAATAATTGAATCATGGACATCTGGAACCGCTAGTCCATTTATTTTTGGTCTTTTTATGGTTGAGAAATTTATCCTCTGTTTTTTGAAGCTCCATATAAAGTTATTAATATCTTTTTGCCACTTCTTGAGGAGTGAGCTCGGAACTAAAATAGGAATTGCTCTCAAAAAGAAAGTCAATTTAGGTAAAATCAAAGACTTAACCACTCTAATGCGTTCTAGTAAAGACAGACTTAGCTCTGACCAATTTTTAAGAGATAAGAGATTTGAGTAGAAATACTTAAATGATTCATCTTTAGTAGATCTTTCAAATCCAATGGGATCTGAATACCTAGGTATCTTAAAGAGGAAGATACCCATTAATAGTTAAAATTAGAACAAACAAAGGCTTTGGTTTCTTTCTTCATATTAATAGGATATAATATAAATCTTTCAAGATGCTTTCCTATGTGAAAAAGTGATTCTTTAGGGTTTGATATGAATAAAATCATGTCATCTGCGAATAAACTAACTTTTGCCGTTTGTTTATTCACAGTTAAACCTTCCAGAAGTGGGTCGTCTCTTATTAGATGTGCCAATGGTTCTACAGCTATGGTGAACATGATGGGGGACAAGGGGCAATCTTGTCTGGTGCCCCTTGTCATGGGCTGAAAAGGAGAATTGATTTCATTGATTCTTAATAAAAATTCTGATGAACTATATATAGAATGAATTACATGTATGAATTTGTTTCCGAAATTCATGTTTTAAATGCGCTAGAAGGTATTAATGGTCAACTGAATCGAACGCCTTTTCGACGTCAAGTAGACAAGAGACTAAATCAGATGTGTTTTTGTTATGTTGAATGACATTTATGGCCTTTCAAATGTTGTCTGTCATGTCCCTGTGAAGAATAAAACCGGTTTGGTCCCTAGCTATATAATCTCCAATAATTTAGTTAAGTCTTTGGGATATAATATTAGTAAATAATTTATAATCATTGTTTAACAATGAGATTGGACGGTAAGATCTGGGGTCTTCAGAATCACGATCCTTTTTGTGAATTAGAATTACCTCTGCTAAATTCCAAGATTTTGGGATTGGGCCCATTTCTAATATAGAATTAAATAAGGTAAGAAGAACTGGTGAAAGAGAAAAAGAAAATTGGAGGGCAGCACATGCGGCGTAGAACTCGCAGAGTTTCCTCCACTCAGAAAGTTTTTTAAAAGCTTTGAAGACGCTGTGGACGATTTGTGTCTGTTCCCGCCATTTTTGCCCATAACCTGGGCTATGATTTAAGAGATCTGTGTTCGGTATAAGGCGAATTGGGGGATTCGGCGAGGAGCTCGGTCCCTATGCGACCGACCGCATTCAGTCCGACGCCCCGCCTTCTTCTCGCTTTCTTTTTTTGATGTGATTTGGGTCCAGTTCCATGCCTTCCTCCTGTGAGCTTTGAGCTTCCGGTCTCGGGCTTCTACTTCCCGAAGGAGGCTTAAGCTGCGATGTTTTTTCTTTATCGCCTCTCCGCCCCACCATTTTTGAGGATTGTTTACTTTTAGAAAAGTTTGCCAAAGTCTCTGTTTTCCACCAAAATGCTTTACTGCACTCTTGTGTGCTTCTTAAATCAGTTCTATGGCTTTTACGTCCGGCACCCTCTTTTTAAAATGCTGTGCTTGGATATCACGTCCGGGAGTTCCCTCACCGGCTCGCTTAAATCAGAGGGGCTTTCTAGCTGAAGCTAGGTGTTTTGCTTTCCCCACGACTCACAGTTCATCGTTGGTCCTAAGACCCACCTCAGGTACGTGTAAAACACCCAATCTTCACGCGCTTGTCCCGGTCAGTGACTCTAGAGCCATACAGTCGCACAGTGGCAGGACCTTCAGGGTGAAGCCTCGATTCCCCAGCATTGAGCCGGAAAAGAGGCAATCCCTCAATAGCCCCATGGCTAGGAGCCGAAACCCAAGGGCTCCGGGGGGGATAGTGGACAATCACACCCCCGCCTATCCGCTGGCGTTCGGATCATGACCCCAAGAGCTCACCAGGGTCGCGTCCGCCATGATGCCACCAAAACCCGGAAGTCCCGCTTTGACCTTATATTCTCTTACCCTCATAGCGATAGAAAGAAATCGCGCTATTGAGAAAGTAATGTGAGGGTGAAGATCTGATAAAAGGAAACATATAAGTCTCTCTTCAGATAGACTATGCTTATTGTGCAGAAGGGGCTGATTAGAACATCCCGAATTCTATTATAAAATTCACAGCTGAGCAAGATGTGAGCAATCGATTCTGGGTTCCTGCTGTTACATGGGCAGGTCCTTTCGAGGTAGGGGGTATTAGCAAATCTACCATAAAGGACCTCTGACGGTAGAGCATCAAAGCGTCCTAGCATAAAAACGTCTCAGTGATGGTGCAGTGAGCTGTAGAAAATAATCAGCTATAAGACCATTCCTCTGAGTTATGTTAAACTTCAGAGGGGAAGGGGGAAATCCAGAACAGAGAGTTTGCTTTTCAATATTGAACATTCTGTTTTAAGGACCTAAAAATGTGAGATTCACCTGACAAAAGCAGGGAGTCAAGGGAGATGCCAATTGATTATATTTTTTTTCAGAATTAAATTTGTCCACTTGGATGTAAATGTGTCTAACAATAGGAGGTGAACATAGCTTTTGGATTTTGTTCTGAATTGGAGACGTAACCAAAATTTTTAAGTTGATAGCCAGGCTCTGCTCCCAAGAAGATGTTGTCCTGTCTCCAGGCACATGGCTGCATAGCGTACACAATTTGGCACTCCTAGGATATGCCGCAAAAACATTGCCTGGATCTGCTCAATGAGTTGATTGAAGAAGCAGATCCAGATGGGGATCCCATACAGAGTTTGGGACACAACCTTGGCGTTGAAGACTCGTACAGCAGTGGGGACGAAGCAAGATGGAGCTGGGGAATGCAGATGTGGAGACAAGTGAGAACTCTGGAACTGATAATGAAGCCAGTGTTGGAACCAATGACATTGGAACCATCCATTGGAACTGGAGGAGAGGCCTGAACTGGGGAGTGGCAAGGGGCCAAGTGATGCTTGTCTCGGTGCCTATCTTTATGCTTGGACTTTGCCTTAGCCTTCTTAGGGGGCGGCTCGGAAGTGGAGTGAGATTGTCTAGGCGATACAGAACAGTACCTTTTAGGGGCCAAGGACAGACCAGACTGACATAACCAGTGGTGGGTGAGAAGGCAGATCAGTCAAGGCTGGAGACTTACTATCAATAGTATGCTGTCATTCCACCAAAGAGGAAGACTTTGTAGCCAAGCTCTCAGGACACGAAAAAGCTTTTTTCCCAAAGGCTAGCTTTGAGTCTTGCTGCTCTACCAGATCTCACTTTGGGAGTAAACTGGAGGCAAAACTCTCTTTTTACCATATCGTATCCTTTGCCAAAGCAAAGAAGGCATAAAGAATGCCCGTCAGAGCAGGTCATCTTAGTTCCCACACTGGGAAGACTTTTTGAATAATGCCTTTTGAGACATAGTCAAAGAAAAAACAAAAAGAAGCTAAGGACGTCCTTGCTCAAAGGCGGCAAAAAGAGAACTGAGGGAGGGAAGTCCTTTGTGTACATTAATAATCTCTGAACAAGTGAAAGCATGCAACTTTTAAGGATGAATTGTCTCTTTTCTAAGAAGTTATGCTGAAGATGTAATATTCTTGGTTACATCTCTGAGTGCTACATATCAAATATAAATATGGATTGTCTGAGGCAATATTATATGGAGTTAACAAAAAAAGTTCTATCAATGACTTACTTCAGTGCAAGGATCTTTCTATTCATGCAAGGTGAGGTAAGGATTGCTTGCTTTAGTGAAGGTTAGCTGAACTGAAGTGTAAGATACCATTCAAATGTTTTAATTGCAAACTTCAACTAATTTGTGCAGGCATAAAACTGGCAAATTGATTTTAGCTGTTTCTTGTTGGTTCTGGCTTTGTAAATAAATGTAATTTCTCTGCATCACTATTTCCCAACATAAGGATTATGTATTTCCTTGCACTACACAAAAATTCAAGTTCATGAATGTCCAGAAAGCAGTAGTGGCATTCTCTTTTGGTCTAATTAAATTCATGGTGCTGGAAATTGGGGATAGCGGACACTCCAGCAGCAAATTTCCAATACTTTTCTATAGTTCATTAAGGCACCAAGGGATAAAGAGAAAATTTTAGCAATTATGCTACTGAAGTCTTTATCTACACACCAATTTTTAAAGATGTATTTTCTCATACTTCATTCTCTCTCTGTCTCTCTGCCATAGACTTATTCCAAATTTAAAGCAAGTATCCCCCACTTGTGGCCGGGGGGACCTGGCAACCCTAATCTAGCTCTTGATTACTACATCCCCTGAGCCCGCGCGCGGGGAGGGCGGGGTATAAATAAAAATAAATAAATATGTTGTTCAGACAACTCATATTGAGCTATGCTGCTCAATATAAAAATCTGTCCTATCTAGACAAATTTACAAATTCTTCAAGATGTTTAGGCAAAAGCAATTTTATTGAGGTTTTTCAACATTTGAGAATGTTTAGAGATTTAGAAAATGACATCCAAGCTTTTCTGAAAAATAGATTTTTAGCTAAATTGACAATGTTTTAGAAAACATTTTGAAAACAAGGCAACTGTGGCTCAGACACAGGAACAGCATAGTATGACAGGCATTGTGAGAGTCCATGCTAGAATATCAGACAACATAAAAGAGATTGTTTTTCATTTTAGATAAGATCCTGACTAAAGAAAAATTCTGCCATCCATTCTCAGCTTCATCCAAGAACAGGACACCCACTAATATACAGAGAAACAAGTACTATTTTGAAAAACGTTTAACTTTATTTTTACACTCAAAAGTTGTACAAATAAACTTACAAGTCCAAAAGTTTATTTTATTTTTTGCTGGAAGAACTGTCAGGTAGAAGGAAATAACTAATAATTAGAGGCATAACAACCAAAACAAACAGAAAACAACAAAAAAATTAAGGAATTCTTTACCCTCGTAGTAAAAATTTTATAAATACAAAACAAATCCACAAATTTGAATGCTAAATAAATATCTACTTAGTAAGGTCAGACTGAATCTCTCCAACCAGTACTGGCACAGTAATTTAAAGGATATAAAACTGTACTTACTAATGTGTAGTGTCAAAAATATGTACTTAAGCGACTTCTAGACATTTTTACTGGTGCAGCTAATTTTTACCCTAGTTGGAGCCCTCACAATACAATGCTACAGCTCTTACAAAATCTAAAGAATATGACAATGCCAAAGAAAAATATTTCTGGAAGCTATTTGGGACACAAAAACGGTCTTTAAAAGTACAAAAACTACTGTAAACCAGTACTGGATTCAATACACATCTATAAAAGTTATCAGACACCGAACAAAACTGTAGCAAAGATAATCTTTCCTACATTCTCCTGAGTGCTTAATAAATTGAGAACATAGTGCAGACCACACTTCTAAGGTGTGGTAGATGTTATTGCTTTCTATAGATATGATAGTTGCATGATTTAAAGGTTTCATTTCCCATGAAACTTATAAAGGTTCTGTCAAATTAACTCTTCAGAAGGAAGAGGCTAGATTCGGGATTTCTTGGCTGCTGGAGCAGCATGGTCCATGTTGCCAGATGCAAGAGGAAGTCCAAGCTTTTGAGCCTGGACATGGAAAAAAGCCTGAAGTCTTGATCCAGCCTTTGCTTCACTTGTATTGCGTGGGTTGTACTCAAAGCAGTTCGAAAACATCAACTCAATGTCTTCAATGAACTCAGCTAGGAGAAAAAATGCAAATAAGACCTTTAGCAAATCAGTATAGTGCAGTGATTACAGTAGAGTAGGATGAGAAAGACCTTGTTTCAAATTCCCATTCATCTATGACATTCAAAGGGTGCCTTTGGGCCTATCACTGTATCTCAAAACAACCTACCACACGGGGTTGTTGAGGAAAGGAGAAATATGTATGCCACCCTGTGATCCTTGGAGGAAGGGTGGGATAAAAATGCATTAGACATGTTGTAAAATCTATATATAGTGAGGGCAAAACAATGATTTTACTGGAGAAGTCAGCAGAGAAGTTCTCTGGGTTTGAAAACCAGGTGAGTATTGCACACTTTCATTCAGAAGTAATTTTTGCTTAGTCATGTGCTCTTCAGTATCCTGAACACCCATGGCCAGTGACTTAGCCCCAAAACTCTCACTGTGCACTGGCAGTTTATACTGCACTGACTGAGAATAGGGGTTCACTGCTATAAAGCCCCCCTGACCTGGATGCCCGCCCTAGACTATCCCAATCTCATCAGGCCTCAGAAGCCAAGTAGGACTGGCCCAGGCTAGTGCTTGAATGGGAGACCACCAAGGAAAAGCAAGGTTAATACGTAGAGGAAGGCAATGGCAAACCACCTCTGTTCATCCCTTGCCCTGGAAACCTATGTGGTCAACATAAGTTAGCTGCGACTTGGTGGCACTTTGCACCACCACCCTAAAGCCATCAAGATATTATGTAAATTAAATTTTTGTTTAGAGGAATAAGGAAAGGAGTCAGCTTTACTTACATGCTAGCTTGTATTCACATTTGTTTACTTTTTCACGTATTATATTTAAGGCAATTGGCTTTTTGATAATATCATAGTAATCTGGTACCTGAAAAAAGCACACCAAGAATTTATAATTCACATAAGTTATCCACTGTCAAAAACAAAAAATCCACACTGCATATTATCAAGAGAAATTGTATCAATTTCTAGGCTAGTAAATCACTCCAGAACAGTTACATCTTTTCAATCTGCCTTCCAAAATATTCCAGAAAGGTCAGCAAACAAGATAATTTTGGAGCAATCACAAAAGAAATACATTTCCAGTACTGCACTGTGAACAGGTTAAAAGGTGTCACTAGTTTTCAAATATGAAGTATGGAATTATATGCAGAGAGTGCATGCACTTTTTATTGTTCTCTCTTGATGTTCAAGGGAGAGATTGAATTACAAATTCAACAGAAAATGCTGAAATATTAAACCAAGACTGCTCCTCTCATTGCCAATAACAGATGGCAAATTTCTCCATTTCTGGAACCTAATACTGACCTTGCTGCACTCACTTGACCTCCTCCCCCGCACTTAAAATTACATGGTTTATTTTTTAAACCTTTCCAGAAGTCTTTGGTTTTGCCACAGAACAAATCCAGATGAATCTGAATACTCATTTTATAATGGAATGACATGTTGTGCTTTAATGAGACTTAGACAGTTCATTTAGAGATATTCTTTACCCTTATATTTCTTTCTGATAATGGAAACTGCAAATGGAATGTTTTTCACTACAACACTGCCCTTTACTGTAGGAGGTACCTCAAGTGTTCAGTATAACTAAGACTTCAGGAAGAAATGGCAAGAGAATGATTGAAAGTGGCAACAAGGGACTCGGTCTGATTCTGAAACAGCACGAAAACCTTGCAGCACACATCCATTATCATCACAATCAGGTGCTAATTTAAAATCAATATAACTGTATTAGCACTTCTGTTAACCCAGACAGTCTGTAAGCCTTCTACTTTCAGATCTTTCTACTAAATAGACATGTGCAAAGTGTGGCAAATCAAAACTTTTAGCTCCATATATAAAGAGTCTGAAATCCAACCGCATGTTTATGACAGTCAAGGCCAACTGAAGACCATTTTTTTACCATTCTGGACCCAGCCCGGTTACCTGGATTTTGGACACAAGCTTCATGAAAGGCCAGCTGTCATCATGACGCACCAGTTCCACTACAAGCTGCTCAAAAGCAGACAGTTCATGGACTCCACCCTGACGACCTGAACTCCTCCTATTTAATGGCATTTGAGGGCACTCTGGAAAAAAATAGCATCACAGAAGTAGATGACAAATATAAAATGCCAGTGTTAAACACAGTACAGAACCATATCAAGAACTAGCTAATCAAGAAATAATGTAATTTTGTTCACTGATAATTAGCTAGGATTCTCAGAGACAAGGTTCAATCTCCATTCTGCCTTAAGACCTTGCTGGGTAGCCTTGGGCCAGTCACTCATTCTCAGCCTAATCTGCTTAACGGGGTTGTTGTGAGGATAAAATGAAGGAGGGGAGAACAGTGTACCCCACCAGGAGGGTAGTAGGCAAAAGAAAACAGCCACACTGTAAGAGACTTTCATGTAGACAATGGTTTCCAGAACTAGACGGACTGCACAAACAAACATATCCCTCTACAAGCAAGTATACAGTTTTCTTCTCATCCAGGCTCCCCACCGATCCTTCGAGTAGGTTTTTGACTTCTTCAATCTGGTGAGTTATCATGCTGATTTAATTGTATTTGCCCCCCCCCCCCCCCAAAAAAGCCACTGTACTTTGTCTTGCTTTTTTAACTGGGAGGTGGTGGCTTCATAACTGGCATATGGCCAACAAGCAAAGCCGGATGGAAAGATATGGTGGGGATGACTTTATAATTTTTGACTAGCAGCAGTATGTAGATCTGACTTGTCCTGGAAACAGGAAGAAGCTGTTGCTCTCGAATTTGATTAAATTTGCAGATTTATACATCTACACAAAAAGTTCACCATTTTGCGGGGTGGAGCCTGAGGAGCGCAGGGGTTGGGGAGGGGTGGGACTTCAGTGGGGTATCATGCCACAGAGTCCACCTTCCAAAGTGTCCATTTTCTCCAGGGGGACTGATCTCTGTTGCCTGGAGATCAGGTGTAATCACAGGAGATCTCCAGCCACCACATGGAGGCTGGCAACTCTAGTATACAACCTCAGAGTAAATGAAATGGGGGAGGGAAGGGAGAACTTTGACAATTAAGTTCTGCACCAAGCAGACAGTAAGGACACTTTATCTAAAATGAGCTTGCTTTGTTTTCAGGATAACAAAAATTGATTCCCAATCAAAAACTGGAACAGTGTACTGAAATCTCATGCCCAGTAACTTCTGCTACCAGACACCCTACCAAAACAGGTGCAAGCACAGTTCATTCTTTTTAGAGAAGATCATTTATGGACCCTAGCTTCTACAGTAATGTCTTTTTAGACTGAAACTTCCATCATGGGTATCCATTAAGGGTAGGTCAAGCAGAACAGAGGGAAAAAATCTCCAGTTAGACCGAAATCCAGCTCAACCAACCACTTTCACACCTTGTACCCAGGCTAGGAAAGCTTGCTGGTATACTGGCCTGACTCAGTCAATACTTCTAATCTTCCATTCGGTCTTCAGCTAGGTAATCTTTCTCCCTCTCCCTTTAACAATTGGACAAAATAAAAGGTTCTTCTGATCTGGAAAAGTTGTACACTGAAGTTATAAAGCGCTTGGAGTGCCACTCAGTAGAGGAGGGTTTCCCAGTGTGGTGGCCACGGGCGCCATGGTGCTCACTAACATATCCCCTGATTCTAGGGTTGCCAACCTCCAGGTGGTGGCTGGAGATCTCCTGGGATTACAGATGATCTTCAGGCAACAGAGATCAGTTCCCCTGGAACAAATGGCCACTTTGGAAGGTGGACTCTATGGCGTTATACCCCACTGAAGTCTCTCCTCTCCCCAAACCCCTCCCTCCTCAGGCTCCACCCCCAAAATCTCCAAGGATTCCCCAAACCAGAGCTGGCAACCCTACCTGATTCCCACCAAGTATTTTTAGAAAGTGGATGGGGCAGGTGGGACCTTTGCCCAGCAAACCTTCTCAATGGCTCTGCAGGTTTTTTAAAAATATTGTTTTCGCAACAGCTGCCACCACAGCAAAAGGACCTTCTCTGTGTGATTGAAGGTAAGCTGTGGCTGCCATTTTGTGGCTGCACCCAACATACTGTGTCAAAATTCTAAAGGTGCCCACAGGCTCAAAAAGGTTGGGGGCCTCTACAGTAGAGCATCAAGATTCTTGAGTCCATGCTTTGCAAACACAGAAACATTTATTTGAACGAGGCTGCTCAGAGTTTGAAAGCAATGGTAACACTCTACTATGTACCCAAGATCTGATATCCTCCAATGAATCTAATATGGATTCGCCTCAGTTTTAAAAAGAACTTACTTACCAGCAGATTGTCTCTTCCTACCCCTCCTCTTAGGCTCAGTATTTTGGGGAGAGCATTTTTCTGTAGAAAATGGAGGATTTTTCAGTTCATTGTTTGTAGTATTAACAATTCTGAAGCCAAGAGAACTGGAAGGACTGCTGTCTGGACTATTGTCTGCGGTGTTCCTTCCTCTACGTCGTCTTCTGGGACTGGTTAACTCAATAAAGGCATCTGCTTGTAGCAAACCTCGATTCTGACGAGTAGTACGACTATTTAGTCCCAATGATTTTGTTATTGATGGAGGAGCAGACTTTGTCTTTCGTATGCCCTTCCCAGTGGCTTTACATGAAGATCCAGTTTGCTTAGGTGTATTCTGTTGACTCCGAGAACTGTACCTTCTGGTAATTTGTTTCTGGTTGCACTGACTCAGATTGGTAGCATTCAGTTTTGCTGCTCTTGTTCTTAACGAAAGTTTTACCTGAGGTTGTCTCGATTTGGATAAGCTGTAAGAAGTTATACAAGTATCAGTTTCTGAGATGGTGAAGTTAACGGTTTCCTTTAGCGGGACCACTGTTCATCTATATATTGTGTATATTCATGTATGTCTAGTCATTCCTGTTTCACCTGGTTACTGAAGATGTGTACAACTCTTTTTCAAAAGCTTAACTAGCGCAAAGTTGTGGCCAATTTTAAAATGCTATTATGTCCTTACAAAATGAGAATTAAAAGCATTGCATCTCTCTCTCTCTCTCCATGTCAAGCGAGACAGAGCATCCTATCAAAACACAATTAATCTCATAATGCTACACATACTTACTTGGTACTAATTTCCATGTAACTCAGTGGAACTTACTTTTGAGCAAATATTCATAGAGACTTAAAGCTGTTCCAGATAATAAATATTTAGCAATAGACCTAGATATCATAAAGTATATCAATAGAAAGTTGCACTTGGTACATATTTTGTACCAAAATACATGGATGTTCTATACAAATGGGAACTCCCACTCATTTCAGTATCTGGAGAAGCTTATTTGCAGGTGAGGTTGTATGCAGAACTGATTGTTCCTGATAGAGATTTCCTTATTGGGAGATCCGTACCCAGACTTCTGGATATGGTTTGACAGTTGCTGATTTACCTTTTTTCATCATCATCTTGAGAATCAGAGTAGTCATCATCTTCATTTACATAGTCATCTTCCTCACTTTGCCTCACTTCCTCATCACTCATTTTATCCTCCTCCTCTTCAATCTGTTCTTCAGACTCTTCATCACTTTCCACAGAAGGTCTCTGTCGGGAAGAGAGACGCCTAGAACGCTGCTTGGGTCGACATTCTGGACAAAACCAGTCCCCTTCAGGAACAGCCTAACAAAGGGCAAGAATGTTTTAATAAAATGCCTTCTTACTCCTTAAGGCTATTTAAGGATTTTTTTTAAAAAAATCCAATTACCTTGAGCTTTGGCCTGATACAATAGATATGATACCCTCGATCACAGCTATCACACAACACCATGCTCTCTGCATCTCCTTTCTTCCTGCACATTTTGCAGCGAGCATTTAAGATAGATTTAGACCAGATTACACTTCGCTCCAATGTTGAGAGGTGAAGGAAGATTTGGGACAGGCTAGCAGAAGTTAGCAGTGATTCTCGCCACCGGTCCAAGACTGTTTTATGTGATCGGCTACTATCACAGGTATCTTATAACAAAAGGAAGGAAAAAAAGAGCAGTTATAATACATACCAAGCATTTATCCAGCTTTTGTTAGAGAGGGAATCTGTGATCTAGCACTAGACAGAAAAACACCAAAATAAAGAACAAGCCAAAGAACAAGCCATTTCGCTTCCTCCTTTTATCCCCTTTTAGATCTCTCTTATTTTCTTCTGCATCACCTAGTATTAAACGTATAAAGTTATTTCAGCACTGTTCTGATATATACAGAAGGTTCCTCAATAAATTTAGTAGTCCAAATGATAAGAGGGTAGGCCATTCAATGGAACAGAAACTAATACCAGAACAGGAAATCGGAGATCAAGAATAAAACTTCTCTCGCAATGAAGAGAGGAAGCAGTGGGACCCCTCAAGGATGGGTTTTGGAACTACTACTGTTATTCTCAAATGACCTGATGTCAGGAGTGAGCATTGAGGTAGCCAAGTCTAGTATGACACGCAGTTATTCAGGATGGTGAAAAGCCAAGGAAACTGAAGAGCTCTTAAAGGACCTCACCAAACTGGATGAATAGGCAACTAAATGGCAAATTAAAGTAATGTAAAATGATGTATACCAGGACCATAATCCTTATAATATATGAGGCAAGAGATATTAGGGTTGTGGTGTGTAATTCAATAAAACCGTCAATATAGCAATGAAAGGTTATTTTCATGCTTGGGATTATTAGGAAAGGGACTGGAAATATAACAACCACTATCATACTGCACATCTATATATCTAGTTCTGAACATGGCCCCAGAGCAAGAATAAAAAATTCTGCATGATGGAGCTGGCTGCAGAAGGGGAGGGGTAATGTTCTCCATAAACTTAAAAGGGGATGGTTAACACCCCCCCCTCGAAAACTAAAGTAACTCAAGCAAAAAATACTGAACAAGATCTTCTGAAATCTAATCCCACAGAGCTGGGAAACTAGTAATGTTGTTAACAACTATTTTCCCTTTTTCCAGTCAAGCATTCTGTTATCAATTCAAATTACAGAAAAAGCTTGATGCTATGTCAGATTTGCTGTATTTTACAGGTAAATATACCATAATCAAAATCAACTGTATTGTTAAAATCTTTTCATGCATGACTCCTTTTTAAAAATTCAATGTATAGTTCTGTGGTTTCAGAGCTGTATTTGCTATACTAAAGAGGGGAATTATGGAAGAAACACGATATGGAAAGGTACAATAAAAAGTAATTTCCAAAGTTTATCTATGAATGATTATTAATGTTTACCATCTTTCTGACTAGACTGATCATCATCTCGCTTCCTCCTTTTATCCCCTTTTAGATCTCTCTTATTTTCTTCTGCATCACCTAGTATTAAACGTATAAAGTTATTTCAGCACTGTTCTGATATATACAGAAACTTCTCACTAACATTAAACTTAGCAGGTTTTGTTGCCATGAGAAGAGAGAAGCAGTGAAACAGAGGTGAAAACACTAGTGATCTTTGTTTCTTTCTAGCAACATGTAAGCATTCTCCTATGCTCTTAAATGGTTTGGCCACTCCACTGTATACCCATCAGTCCCTCACAGCATAAATCCCTTGGTGTTAACTTTTCCTCACCCTTGTCAGTAGTTTCAGTATGATGACGTATCCTGTCCTCCTGATCGAGAAACAGGTCATTGTAATGGCTAAACACTCATTTTATCATCTTCACCTAGTGTGGAATCTAGCCCCCTTTTGGACTCAGCCAATATGGCTACACTCATCCCTGTCACAGTAATTTCAAGGCTGGTTTATAGTAACGTGTTCTACGTGTGGCTGCCCTTGAAGATAACCCAGAATGTGTGCATTCCACTAGCTTTAAGAGCACTAAACTGGCTGCCCATTGGTTTCTAGGCCCAATTTGATGCAGTGACTCACTGAAAATGTCGAGACAGTGTGTGACTGCAATAAAGAAGGCCAATGCTATGCTGGGGATTATTAGGAAGGGTATTGTAAACAGATCAGCCAATATCATAATGCCGCTATATAAATCAATGGTGCGACCTCATCTGGAATACTGTGTGCAATTCTGGTCACCACACCTTAAAAAGGATATTATAGCTTTGGAAAAAGTGCAGAAAAAAGCAACTCGAATGATAAAAGGGTTGGAACACTTTCCCTATGAGGAAAGGTTAAGGCGCTTAGGGCTCTTTAGCTTGGAGAAACGACGATTGAGGGGTGACATGATTGAGGTTTATAAGATTATGCATGGGAAAGAGCAGGTAGAGAAAGAGGTACTTTTCTCCCTTTCTCACAATACAAGAACCCGTGGGCACTCCATGAAATTGCTGAGCGGTCGGGTTAGAACGGATAAAAGGAAGTACTTCTTCACCCAAAGAGTGATTAACACTTGGAATTCACTGCCACAGGAAGTGGTGGCAGCTACAAGCATGGACGGCTTCAAAAGGGAATTAGATAAGCATATGGAGCAGAGGTCCATCAGTGGCTATTAGCCACAAGGTATAGATAGGGACTCTGGGGCAAGTGATGCTCTGTCATCTTGGTGCTCGGGTGGGTCAACAGTGGGAGGGCTTCTAATGTCCTGGCCCCACTGGTGGACCTCCTGATGGCACTGGTATTTCTGGCCACTGTGGGATACAGAGTGTTGGACTGGATGGGCCTTTGGCCTGATCCAACATTGGCATCTCTTATGTTCTTATT